CCTCTGCTACACACTCCCAGCCCAGTCCATGGGCTCTAGCAGCACAGAGAGTGAGACTCTGTGACTTTACACCAGGAGCCCTTGCTCCATGCGGTCCCCTGAAAATGTCTGCCTCCCCACATGTGCTTCTTCTTCCTTTTTCCTCTCTCCTTTCCTCCACAGCCAATCATAAGTCCAGCTGCAACAGTTCTGCTATGGGTGGATCCTTCTCAGCTGTAGCAACAACCAATCAGAGCACGGTCCTGCTTTCCCTGTCTGTCACTCACAAGGAGGGAAAAGAAAAAAAAATGCTTTGCAACTGCTGTTTAAGATTTAAATCAACCAGCACATCTCTACATTGGACTGCTGGGATTGCTGATTCAGGCACTAGATTGGATAGGAATGCAGGGTGAAATCCATAGTTAGAGAAGAATGGAGACTGTTTTGTGGCCAAGTGTTTCAAATTATTGTATGCAAATTCAGCCAAGGGTAAAAATGATACCCAGTCATCTTGGGAAAAAGATGTGAAACAACAAATGTTTTGCTCCAAGGTCTGGTTGGTTCTTTCTGTTTGGCCGTTGGTCTGAGGGTGATAGGCGGAAGAGAGTGAGAGTCCCACTTTCAACTTCTCGCAAAGAGCTTTCCAGAACTTCAAGGTGAACTGCACCCCTTGATCCAAGACGATGTTCCCTGGGACACCATGGAGCCTCACCACCTCTCTTATAAAGATTTGGGCCGTTTCTTCTGCAGACAGTACTCCCTTCATGGCAATAATGTGGGCCATTTTAGAAAACTGATCCACTATAACAAAAATAGCCGAACATCCTTCAGATGGTGGCAGTTCTACAATGAAGTCCATCGATATCATTCTCCATGGACGGTCAGGAACTGGTAGAGGCCTTAATAATCCCCAAGTCTTGATTCTGTTACCCTTGTTCCGTATACATGTGGGACAGGAATTTACATAGGCCTTGCAGTCCTTCTCCCACTCAGGCCACCAGAACAGGCGCTGCACTAGGTCTAAGGTCTTGTGGACCCTGAAATGTCCTGCCAGCGGATGGTCATGACAAAGCCAGCCCCAAAATTGCCAGTGGGGTAGTTTCTGGTGCAAAGATTCTGTTCCCTGACCATGGTAACCCTTCTATAGAGGACAGAGTTATTCCTGGAGGGGATGGAGACCCAAAAGATGCCTGCTGGATCTGCAAAAAAAGGTCTGGTTGTAAAAGACAGAAGTTGCCTGTTGAGAGCACTGTATCAGGGGTAGGAGGATCCTTCAGCTCATCAAACATCCTAGACAGAGCATCGGGTTTTACATTCTTAGAGCCTGGACTATAGGTAATGTGGAAGCTGAATCTGGAAAAGAAGAGTGCCCACCTGGCTTGTCGGGGTTTTAGACGTTTCGCAGTCTTCAGGTACTCCAGATTTTTGTGATCGGCGTGGATCAGAATGGGGTGTGCTGCTCCCTCCAAAAGGTACCTCCATTCCTCCAAGGCTGATTTGATGGCCAGTAATTCTCAGTCCCCTACATTGTAGTTTCTCTCCACCGAGGATAGCTTTCGGGAAAAGAAAGCAACAGGATGAAGCAGAAGTATCAGATCTTGCTGCTGCAATAGGACAGTCCCAACAGCACTCTCAGAGGCATCTACTTCTACTACAAAGGGTAGTGCTGGATCCGGATGGCTTAATATGGGTGCTGAGGTAAAAAGTCCCTTTAATGCGTCAAAAGCATTTTGGGCTTCCAGGGTCCAACGGAATCGGATTCCTTGTTTGGTCAGTTGATTGATAGGAGTGATGATGGCTGATGATCCCTTGATGAACCTCCTGTAAAAGTTGGAGAAGCCTATGAAGCACTCTACTCCCTTTTTATCGGATGGTGCACGCCATTCCAGGATGGCGGAGACTTTCTGGGGATCCATCTTGAAAACCTCAGTGGATATAATCAACCCTAAGAATTGAATACTCACACTTTTCTGGTTTTGCGTAAAGTCCGTGTAGTTGGAGGCGACCAAGGACCTTCTGCACATGACCCAGAGAAATTAGATGGATGCAGAAAAGATCAGGATGTCTTTGAGGTATACAATCACAAAGATGTCTAAAAAGTCCCTAAAAATGTCGTTCACTAGGTGCTGGAAAGTTGCAGGGGCATTACACAGTCCGAAGGGCATAACTAAGTACTCGAGTGCCCAAACCTGGACTGTTTTCCATTCATCTCCTTCTCTGATCCTTACAAGATTGCATGCCCCTCTTAAATCCAGTTTTGTAAATATGGTCGCAGATCTGAGTCTCTAGAATAGTTCTGGGACTAGTGCCAGAGGATATCTGTTCTTCACTGTGATGTTATTTTATTTGCGGTAGTCCACACATGAAGAAGATCCCTGCACCTGCTGGTGAGGTGGAGGGGTGGATGAACCCCTTTCTGAGATTATCTTCGATGTAGTCTTTTAATGCCTCCAACTCATGACAGTGGAAAGATCCGACCGAAGGGAATCTCAGCTCCAGGTAGAAGTTTGATCGGGCAGTCGTAGGGCCTGTGAGGAGAAAGGCTGTCTGCACCACATTTACTGAAGATGTCCAGAAAGTTATGGTATGCTGCTGGAACCATTTGGCTTACTTTGGTATCATTTTCCATGCATAACAGGGGCCCAGATTGAGCAGGACCTTGGGGCAAGCAGGGCTCATGGCAGTAAGCCGACTGAAAGTCCATTTCACCAGATATCCAGTTTACGCTGGGGTTGTGGGCCTGCAACCATGGGATCCCCAAGATGACTGGAAACAGTGGTGATACAATAACATCCAATCATAGTAGTTGCTTGTGGCCAGATGGAGATATTAACACAGGAAGTGGGATTGTTTCCTGTGTGACTGCCCCAGACTTAATGTTAGATCCGTCGGCCAGATATACTGTCAGTCTCTGAGTCTTGGCCTTTAAGGGTATCTGGTGTTGTAAAGCGAAGGTTGTGTCGATAAAGCAACTGCAGGCCCCAGAATCAATGATTGCAGGTTTCTTCCCAAAAGCTGGAATGAGATGGAAATGGTAAGATGAGCAGGGTTGATATTTGATAGCTTAGCAGGCAGGGTGGTCAGAGACTTATATAGCTTTGCAGGGCAGTTCCTTACGTAATGGCCCGGTTCTCCACAATAGAGGCATAGGTTGTCCTGTCCGTGGTTTTTGATGTTCCTCCGGGGTAAGTGAGGTTTGTAGCAACCCTATTTGCATGGGTTCAGATTCATCAGTATTGGGTGTAGCAGGGCTGGTTGGTGCCATGCTCGCTGGAGGCGGTACCCTGGGTACCCTGGGTAGCATCCACATGGCCTGCGGATCTTTCCAACCTTCGTTCCCTAAGTCAGCAATCAATCTGGATAGCCAGGTTAATGAGCTCTTCCAACGTGTTTGGTACCCCGACTCGTACTAGCTCATCTTTAAGAGGTTCGGCTAGGCCTAAGCGGAAATGGTATCGTAGGGCAGCGTCGTTCCAATTGGTATCGGCGCTCCAACGCAAGAATTCTGTTAAATAGTCCTCAGCTGCCCTGCGACCCTGCTGAGGAGAGTGTAGTGCGGCTTCTGCCGACGCAGATTGCTGGGGATCATCGTAGAGCTGCGTCATAGCCTCAAAGAAGCGGTTTAAGGAAGTTAGCTTGGCATTTTCCTTCTCCAGCAGATGGTGGGCCCATGCCTGTGGTTAGCCCTGGAGGAGTTAGATCACAAACCCCACCTTGGTTGCCTCTAAAGAGAAGGTATGGGGTTGCAAAGCAAAATAGAGTTCACAGGCGTTGCGGAAGGCCCTGAATTTCTGGCGATTGCCAGAAAATCTTTCAGGTGTAGGAACTCTAGGTTCCGGGGGCAGCATCATCACTGCAGGGTTCACCATGGCTCCTGGAGTGACAGTTGGAGTGGATGTCGCTGCGGTACTAGCAGAGGGAGTGGGTGCAGATAAAGCCTGAAAACGGTTTTCTAGATGGTTATAACCCTCTTGCAGGCCCTTGACGGCTTGTGTCAATGCCGCAATGTGCTGGCATATCTCTTCCAGAGGAGAGGCCCCTCTCTCAGGCTTCGACATGGCCTTCTGGTACTATCACGTACCTGGTTGGGGAGCCTGACGTGGAGAGGAGGCGTCCTCTTACTACTCCTGCTCGGAGCCCCTGATAGTGGGAACAGAGGGCGCAGAGCCAGGAGTGACATTAGTGCCTGGTGGGTCTGGAGCTGGTGGCAGGCAGGTGAAGACCCAGGAGATCCGGATGCAAGCCAGGTGCAGATGCAGGAACGTGGGTGCAGCAGCAGGTAGGTATGGCAGCAATCAGGATACAGACTGGGAATGAACACAGGAGCGTGGATGCGGCAGCAGGCAGGTATGGAGGCAACCAGGAAGCAGGCCAGGTGCAGGACCGTGGGTACAGCAGCAGGTAAGTATGGCCGGTGACCAGGATGCAGGACAGGTGCAGGACCGTGGGTGCAGCAGCAGGTAAGTATGGCAGCAATCAGGATACAGGCCAGATGCAGATGCAGGTCAGGATCAAACGAGCAAATCAAGTACAAGGGAGCAGGCAATCGGATAGTCAGGGATAAGCCAGGGTCGGTGCAGGTGGAGTTCTTTCTTAGTTAGGTCAGATCAGATACAGGCAACAGAATCAGGTTATGGAGTGCAGAACGTTATAGACCAGAAGGCATTGACTAAACTGTATTGCAGGTTTAAATAGCCCGCCTTGCGGTAAAGTGTACGCTACTGCGTATGCGTGAACTCGCACGCTCCTGCGCATGTGCGCCTGCACGCTCCCATGCATGTGCACTTGCACCACCGCGGCCAGAAGGGATCCGGTGCCGTCGCGTGGCTGCACGGAGGAGGGATCACTGACAGTACCAGTAGTCATCTTCTTTTTCAGCATGGGCCCTGGCAAATTCTAGGCGGCCTTTTTAGTGCATGTTTTTTAGGAGAGGCTTCTTACATGGGCAACACCCATGCATGCCATTCCTCTGCAGTGTACGCCATATTGTGTCATGAGAAACAATCACCCCAGTTTGGCTTTCTACTTCTTTAGTTAATTGCAGTGAACTTGCATTGCGATTTTCTTCAACCCTTCTCAACAGAAGACACTCCTGTCAAAGTGTTAACTTTCATGGATGGCCTGCACGTTTCTGTGAGATAGTTGCAGTTCCATCTTTGTAAGATTTGTGTATCACTTTTACTATAGTATTCTGAAAGGTAAGTAAAGCTTTGCTGATCTTCTTGCAGCCTTCACCTTTCTTGCGTAAAGAAATTATTTTCTTTCTCAGGCCTTGTGACCAGGGGTGGACTGACCATTTGGAAACTTGGGCACTGCCCGAGGGCCCGGGGTCAGTAGGGGGCCCATTGAGATGCCCCTGGTACCTTTTTCATAGGCTTTTTTGAGTTTGGGCAAGGACACAGGGGCCCCATGAGCCCCTATTGCCCAGGGGCCCCATGAGTTGTCAGTCCGCCCCTGGTTGGGATCCTTCCCTATCAGACAAGACTGCTGTGTGGCATAGCTCTCAGGTAATGACAATGACTGTATACAGTATAATCATGTTTGTTTCTACACTGACCAGTTTTTTATGCATTCCCCCCACACTACTAGGGTCAAACGCTTGTTCCTTTAGTGCAGAGGTGTTAAACTCAATCTCATTGTGGGCCACATCAGTATTATGGTTGCCTTCACAGGTTGCCATAATTTCTTTCATGTGGTGCCGTTGCTGACAGCATGAAATGGGAAGGGGTTTTCTTTGGTCAGAAATGTCCTGTCTGCTGGACACCTGTTTAATGAATAATTAGACCAGGGGCAGACTGACAACTCATGGGGCCCCCGGGGCAATAGGGGATCATGGGGCCCCTGTGTCCTTGCCCAAACTCAAAAAAGCCTATGAAAAAGGTACCAGGGGCATCTCATGGGGCCCCCTACTGACCCCGGGCCCTCGGGCAGTGCCCGAGTTTCCAAATGGTAAGTCCGCCCCTGAATTAGACTCACTTGTAGTTGAATTCTTGTTAATTAGGATTTTGTTCTAAAATTTAGCTTTGCTTCTAAGAATTTCATTGGGGTATATTCATTTTTTCAACATGGTTGAATGAATTTGTTAGGAAAAAAATTGTTTTTTGGTTTCGTGTGTGCAAATTAACAAATCTTGTTTGCAATCAATGGCCTGCATTTTTGGGAGTATTTTGTAGTATAATATCCCACAGAAAATGTTGATTCTGAAAGGAAAGTAAAGTTTTTTTGACAAATCTGTTGGGATGTACTCACATCTATCTATCTATCTATCTATCTATCTATCTATCTATCTATCTATCTATCTATCTATCTATCTATCTATCTATTATATATATACTATATTGCCAAAAGTGTTGAAACACCTTTCCAAATCATTGGATTCAGGTGTATAAAATCAAGCACCTAGGTATGCAGACTGCTTCTACAAACATTTGTGAAAGAATGGATCACTCTCAGGAGCTCAGTGAATTCAAGCGTGGTACCGTGATAGGTTGCCACCTGTGCAATAAGTCCATCCGTGAAATTTCCTTGCTACTAAATATTCTATGGTCAACTGTTAGTGGTATTATAACAAAGTGAAAGCAACTGGGAACAACAGCAACTCAGCCACAAAGTGGTAGGCCACATAAAATGACAGAGCGGGGTCAGCGCATGCTGAAGCGCACAGTGCGCAGAAGTCGCCAACTGTCTGCAGAGTCAATAACTAAAGACCTCCAAACTTTGTGTGGCCTTCAGATTAGCACAACAACAGTGCATAGAGAGCTTCATGGAATGGGTGTTCATGGCCGTTCAGCTGCATCCAAGCCTTACATCACCAAGTGCTATGCAAAGAGTCAGATGCAGTGGTATAAAGCACGCCGCCACTGGACTCTAGAGCAGTGGAAACATGTTCTCGGAAGTGACGAATCGCGCTTCTATGGCAATCCAATGGACATGTCTGGGTTTGGCAGTTGCCAGGAGAACGGTACTTGCCTGACTGCATTGTGCCCAGTGTAAAGTTTGGTGTGGAGTTGTTTTCAGGGGTTGGGCTTGGCCCCTCAGTTCCATTGGAGGGAACTCAAGGCATCAGCATACCAAGACATTTTAGACAATTTCATGTTCCCAACTTTGTGGGATCAGTTTGGGGGATGGCCCCTTCCTGTTCCAACATGACTGCGCACCAGTGCACAAAGCAAGGTCCATAAAGACATGAATGAGCGAGTTTGGAGTGGAGAAACTTGACTGGCCTGCACAGAGTCCTGATCTCAACCCTGTTGAACACCTTTGGGATAAATTAGACTGGAGATGGCGAGCCAGGCCTTCTCATCCAACATCATGACCTCACAAATGCGCTTCTGGAAGAATGGTCAAACATTCCCATAGACACACTCCTAAACCTTGTGGACAGCCTTCCCAGAAGAGTTGAAGCTGTTATAGCTGCAAAGGGTGGGCCAACTCAATATTGGGGTGCCATTAAAGTTCATGTGCATGTAAAGGCAAGCATTGCAATACTTTTGGCAATATAGTGTATATATACACACACACACACACACTACTGTATCAATGAAAATATTGTTATGCTGCCAATAAACACTACTGAGCAACAAAGAGAACCTAATTTTCTTGAGTTCTCACAAGGGCTCACACACATACATAAACAAGTCAGACTCCAAACAACCAAAAGGCAAATTGCTCCTCTATAGAAAAACAGGAATCCTATCTACCCTATCAATCAGCTTCATTACCATGTGTCATTCAACACCTTACCTTCAAGTACAAAATTTCTGGCTAACAAATGCAAAACAAATAAAATGTCAAATGTTTTTGTATCAGTTACTCTAAAATATTATTGGAATGGATGTCCTTGAAGGTCAGTCAATTCAGACTGAATGGGGTACATTCATATTTGTCAGAAAGTGTATCTGGTAAGGGCAGTCCACATTCTTCTACAAGAGAAACCAGTCTCTTAAGCAGTAAGGTCTGCAAGCAGGCCACAAAGAAATTGGGGGAGACTATTCAAAAACTATTGACAATAGAGATTTTTTAAACCTGCCATAAGCCCTTTCTCTACTCTAGTGTTCCCAATAAACAAACCTGGCCAGACCTTCAGCTTCAGTGGTGTCTGCAAGCCATTCTAGTCTTCCCCTGAGATATCCAACAGATTTCTTTCTGATAGGTCTTGTCACTGCCTTGGGCATCTACAGTTTAACAGGCATAGCAACCATCTTAGATGTTGCTAGAACCAAATATTCTGTAAATTTGACCTGGCTAGGCTCTACTTTCATCTTGGGTATGTGCTGGCTTGAGAACAAATGTAACAACCATTCAGTTTAGGTATTGTCTCTACAACCTGACTTTAGGGATGATGTGCTAACACTTTGGACAAGTTTGGACACTTTGGGGTTTATTTACTAAAGCTGGAGAGTCCAAAATCAGACTCCCTTCTGCATAGAAACCAATCAGCTTCCAGGTTTCATTGCCAAAGCTTCACTGAACAAGCTGAGGTTAGAAGCTGATTGGTTTCTATGCAGAAGGGAGTCTGATTTTGGACTCTCCAGCTTTAGTAAATAAACCCCTTTGTGTCCTCTGAAACAACACAGGATCAGTCCCTCCATTGAGGTAAATCTGACTCCAGTGTACACTGCTTGTCCAAATCAGTATTCAGCTGAGATTAATTTCTGTTCTTCATGATGTTTCAAGGAATCTGATACTGCCGACTACCATCCCATGTGCTAAAATATGCAACCAGTTGGTATATACTGTCCTGGTTTGATGATCCCTCTGTGTGGCATTCTCAGCTCACTTCCAGAGTTTTTCTACTGCCTGTTTTGCAGGAATAGTCCACTGTCCTTACTGCAGTCCAGCACTGGAGCTAATTCCCGCAGAGATTCTTCTCTCCTCTACTCTTGTGCTTTGCTCCTGTTCAAAGAGGAGTACATTTTGAGGTCTAAATAAAAATGAATTTAGGGACCTTGCCATATGCTAGGGTGTATCTAAATGTAGTGTTTGGTGATTAGGCTGTAGCCAGCCTGAGCTCTGTTTGTTTACAATATCTGGGACTGTTAAGTTTCTCCTAAGCCCAAGAACATTGTTTGTCTCTGCCTGCTTTTAGGGAGTGTTCTCCAGTAGAGAAACTGAGAAGAAACAGAGCATTTTTTCACCCAGGGAGAAACCTTGGCTCCCCCCATCCCACAACCCCTTTTCCCCCAGAGAGGTTGGTGTCAGTAGGACAGTGGACAGTGTCAGTAGTTTTTTATTTTTATTTATTTGTTTTTATTACTTTTTACAATGTTATTATTTTCTACAGTATTGTTTGTTATTATCTTTTAGGAGCCCTGTTGGAAGGCTTTGGTGAAATATCAGGGGTCTAAACAGACCTTCTCACTTTTGAGACAGAGAAATTCCCCAGTCCCTTGCTCTGCAGCCTCAGCTGTACTGGACAGTGATTGAATGGGAAGCACTCTGTGCTGAGCGGCTTCCTGTTCATTCACAAACTGAAGCATGGTAAATACAGATTACTATGCTTCAGTTATTAATGAACACAGTGAGTGATCGGTACCGTCTCCTGCCCCCACTCTCCATCGAGAAAAATCCCCTGCAGCAGGAGAGGAGTGGAGCTGACAGCACTGCAGGGGTGGAGCCAGAGGCGGACTGACCATTTGGAAACTCGGGCACTGCCCGAGGGCCCGGGGTCAGTAGGGAGCCCCATGAGATGCCCCTGGTACCTTTTTTCATAGGCTTTTTTGAGTTTGGGCATGGACACAGGGGCTCCATGATCCCCTGTTGCCCGGGGGCCCCATGAGTTGTCAGTCCGCCCTTGGGTGGAGCAAGACAGCACAGCATGGGGAGGGCAGGACAGCAGAAGGAATGGGAACCTGGAGAGTAGGGATGATGGGGTGGCATTTAGTGGAGCTGATGGTCTGTGGTTTCCTCCTACAGCTGCTGAATGCTGGTGGGAGGGAAAGGAGGAGAAGAAGGCTTTCAGCAGCAGCAGCAAGAGGAAAATACAGCCCATTGTTTCCACTAAATGCCACCCCCACTGTCCCTCCTCTCCAGATTCTGGCGGGTTGTCAACCCCCAGATTAGGATGTACCCAGGCATACCCTGCATACTCCATATGCACACCTATGGGACAAGTCCTAACTTCGTACTGAGCAGAAGAGTTAGGCATTAGCTTTGCACATGCTTGGGGGGATGCAGCTGAGTGGATGAAGGAAGAAGATGACTCACCCCCGGGTCTCCACTCCCATATCCTCTCAGTCATCGTCATCACTTCAGCTCCATGGCGGGGATCATAGTGCCACCATGTCAGGCTGTGCTGTAGAGGTGGCCATGCTGTTCCAGTTCTCTTCGCCGTCTGACCTTCTAACACCCCCCCTCATGGGACCCCTCCCAATGCGGCACCTGAGGAACACATCCCCCCCCCCCCCAGTTTCGACCCTGTGTTTAATTATGGATATTTATCCTGCCCTGCACAATTACTGAGGGATTTATGCAGGTGCTATGGGCTGAGGAAGAGGATAAATATTTGGAGAGAGCTTCTAGAAGGTTTTTTCCCTTCCAGGCCTTATAGATCCTGTATAGTCAATTGATAGTTTCAGCTTAAAATTTCACAACTACAAATTGTCCATCTGGATTTGAAGGTCCACTTCTACCCTGTGAGGGGGGATGAAGATATTTAAAGGAAGCTGTGCTTCTGGTCAACCAAATCTTAATTAGCTTGTGGCTAATAGTGATATTACTGAATGAAGTGAAATTTTCTTCTTTTCTTTTTTTTTCTTTTTTATACTGTACCCCTGATCCTCTTTCCTCTGGATAACTGAGGCAATAAAATATAAAAAAATAGATTGACTGTGTGGTAGTCTGTCTGCCCATCCTGCAGGTGGGGCAACAAGTATATGGGTGCAGCAGCAAACAAATCACCATTAGAAAAGCTACGATGGCCAGTAAAAATCAGGAGATTCTGAGAAGGTCACTGCTACATAAGGATTTTTTTTTACATTTAAAAAATATTGTATTTATAGATCTGATTTCACTACCCTGACCTTTGCAATGGCTTAACAAGCTAAAATGAATTGCAAAAAACAAAACTGGCAGAACTAGGGGGAGAAGACACCATCTGTTTTCCCCCTAGTTCTGCTTTTCATCTTTTACTGACTGGAGGTGCAGAATGGTCTAAATATAGAGAAGCATTCCCCAATTTAACAAGCTTGCTGAAAAGAACATCTCTATGTTTCAGACACAAAACAGACAGATGTTTGCCTTGAACATGATTACATTTGTTCAAGAAAATCAATTAAACCATTAAGATGTTTGCTAAATATTGTGTTTTCTTCCACAAATAGAAGGAAATGGTCACTTAAAAACTGACAGTGTTGAAAGAAATATATACTTAGGCAAGATTTGTTTTCTGAACCACATAGTTTATTGCAAGAAATTCTTGAATGATCATTATGTTCTTTGTTTTCTTCATTCACATAGTCTTGTTTCGTAAAATAGTAAGATTTCTAAATACAGTACATGTTCACATTGACCAAATAAGCAGGTTTGTTTCTTTGGTGTTGGGTGGGGGAGCACTCTGCAGATATCCTCGATGCCAGTCTATTTCTGGTGTAAAACAATATAGTGATCACCCAGGAAAAACCTTACCTAGTCTGATGATATCAGCCTTGCTGTCACTGACTCTTGAGACAGACAGCTTCAAATGTTTTTTTTTTTTTTTTTGAAAAGCAGAAGAGTCTACACAGCACTTCAAGTTCAAACTGGCTGCAGCCAGCTTTATTGTGTTTCCAGCATTAAATGAACACAGGTAGAATTTCCAGTATCCAAACAATTTAGGCAGCATCTCTATAGAAAAAAGAAAACACTAAAAAAAAAATCCTAGGTTGCCTGGT